AGCCCTCAAATAAACTCTTCCTCCTACAGTTGTGCTGGTTGGGTCCTTTAGTCATAGTATCAAAAACAACAAAAAAAAAATGACTAAAACAATCCCTAAGTAAAGAGCAAATTATTCTTCATGTAAAATATCATTAAATGTCTTGTATTTTGTCTAGATATATGGAAAGTTGCACTCCTTTTGTGATTTATATTTTATTTTCTATTAACCATAGTATTTTATTGAGTAGAACACAAATTGTAATTTGTTCCTATAAAAATAAGGAAATCATTGAACAAATTAAACAATTATAGTTCACATAGAAAACAAATTTAATTTTGAAATTCTGTAATTGTTTGAAATATCTCAACTGTGAGAAAAATATTTTCATGGACTACCACTTTAAAATGGATTTCAGAACCACAGAGAATTAAGAAGGCCCATGATTTTGCATTTAAATTTTTCAAAATGTTAAAATAATTGCAAATAGAGAAAACTTCCTTGGTATGTTTTGTCTCCTGAAAAATATTTGAAAAAGGAAGCACTCTAAATAAGGTACCTTGAAAATAGACTAAGATAGTTATGCAATTCAGTAACTCCCTCAAGAATATCCTTCATTGAGCAGAATTTACTCTGCAATTATAAAATACCTCAACACATATGGAGAACTTTCTCAGTAAAAAAAAAATATGCTAGTCAACAGAGAAAAGTCAATAAAGGTTGTCAAAAATGTCAAATTTATTAACCATTTTGAAGGACAATTTTAAAGAAGATTGTAAGCAATTTTATAGAAAAATAATAAAATCACAGATAGGACACAGAGGATTTGGAGGGCAGTGAAATCATTATGTATGTCACTATAATGGTAAATATACATCATTGCAGATTTATCCAAACCAATAGAACATATAACATCAGGAATCAAGCCTACTGTGAACTGTGGACTTTGGATAATGACACATCAGAGTTGGTTCACCAGTGGAAACCATCTACCACTCTGGTGAGGGATACCAATGATGGGAGGGTATCCAAGTGTGAGAGGGAGTTTTATGCAATATTTTTACCTTCTGCTCAATGGGTCTACGAACTACGACTTCTCCAAAACAAAGCCCACTAAATAAAATACTTTTTCAAGAAATTCCCAGTGTCATGATTTTAGATCTAGATGCAGCTTTTTTGATGATTACATGATATAAGACGTACCAAAAAGAATTATTCTCTTTATACCATTTTTAATATTCAGGAAGTTTTATTTATTTGTTTGTTTGTTTGTTTGTTTATTTATTTGCTGCACTCAGATATATAGTTCTCTAACTTTTTATGTGGAATTTTTAAATTAATACAATTAGAATTATTTTATAAATCAACCAATATACAAGGGTAGTATGGGCCTTGGAGTGCTGGTATGGCCCTACTTTCCATCACCTACATGAAAGACATGTTCAACAGCAGTGACCTCTGTCTGAACTTAAGAAGGCCTTATAGTATGTGCTTTGCTGACACTCTAAACTCAAGCTGTGCCAGAGGAACGAGGTCAGCCATCAAAGGCTGATGTCCAACACTTGTAGCTTGATACTTAGGGGCATCTTTTGAATTACTTGTTAGTAGCTTTGTTACTAATTTCAAGCAAGCTTTATCCAAGTAAAAGGTCATTATTCTCTGCAGTTTTCCATCTTGGATCAGCCTGTGTAGCCTGTCCTCATTCTTATTTAACTAGAAATTTATGTGATCACATTAGGCCTATAGGGGAAAAAGTCGAGGTTAAAAACAAAAACAAAAAATCCTAATACTTAATTTCACAAAAGGAAGTCAATGTTCAGTATTCAGGGTCTATAAGTTTTTAAAATTAATCAATAGCATTTAAAATACATTGCAAAATAATCTAACATGATTGAAAGTGGGTAATAGACATAGAATTGAGGGGGTAAAAACCTGGTACTAAAAATTTTGTTGTAAAATTTCAATTTTAAAAATTGTGAACTTTTTAACAGTTTGAAAGTAAATAAGGTGTTTTTTTTCCAAATTAAATGCTTTAATATGTATAGGGAGAAATCAAGATTTCTTTTGCTCGTCATTCCCACTTTTCACAGATTTTTGCTTGTATACCTGATTTCCAATTTCTGCACAAGGGATTACTAATCACAATGATCTGAGGGCCATGCAGACTGCCTTAGATAATCTTGGAATTGTTAAACCATTATTTGAAAAATCTGGCTAGATAAGTTTTAATCCATTCATCATTAGAAAGCATGCCAACTCAAAGCAGTTTAACAAATATATAGCTAATTGGAATCCAGAAAATTCATGAGCTTCTTTATTCTATGTCATTTCCAATATAATATAACATGATTACTTAATGTTAATCAGCTTTTTATCACTGTGACCAATACACCTGACGAGAATAAAATAAAGGAGGAAAAGTTTGTCCTAGGCTCACAGTTTCAGAGGTTAGTCCTCAGTAAGCTGATTCCATAGCTCTGCCTCTGAGGAGAAGCAGAACTTCATGGTGGAAGGGTGTGATGAAGGAAAGCTGTCAGGTCGTGGCAACCAGGGAGCACAGAGAAAGAGATCAGAGAGATGGGAGAGAGAAGAAAGGGCCAGAGACAAATATATTCCAAGGCCACACCTCCAATTACCTAACTCCTCCACGTATACCACACCTGCCTACAGTTATCACTCTGTAGTCCATTCAATTTATTAATCCATCAATTGGATTAATTCACCGATGAGTTACAGCTCTCATAATCCAATCTTTTCACCTTTGAACATGTTACCAGCCCAACACAGAGGGGGACATTTTTAGATCCAAACCATGGCAATTAACTTAAAATATTACTTGCTACTTGCCCAAACCCTTCTCACTACATTAGAGGAAAGCAGAGCCCACCAGCCTCCTCCCATTCTCATGCTGGAGATGAGACTTATTATTAATCAGGATCAGTGATGGGTAGAAATTTGGGGACTCAATAAAGGAAGTTGCACGTTAAGATTTTGTTACCGAAACATTGTTGGCTAGTCACTCCCTTCCCCTTCCTCCAGTTTCTGGGAAAACGAGTTAGTGATGCTAAGTGCTAATGGGCTCTAACATATTGTCTGGATTCTTACTAAATTGCACCTCACTGTCTGTACACTAGTCCCCAGACTTGCAGGAGCTGCCGTGACTTGTTTGTTCCCAGTGTTCAAATAGTCCAGCTGTCATGTCAACACATGAGAGACAGACGAGTCTGATCGCCATGGGCTGGGTTCACTCTTTCCATCAACAATGCATTCTCTTTTGTCTGTGCTCAGACTTTAGATCAGTCTCTTTTGCAAAAACAGACTTGATCAGCAGTGAAAGAGGACTGCATGTGGAGATTGCTTAAAAGAATCAGTTCAGGGTGTGGATACAGTTTCACGGGAGATTGAAAATGGTATCAGTTTAAAAAAATGTGAGTTAATATTGAGGGCAATTATCTATTACCAGCCTGCTCTAGCCCACCCTTCCAGAGTAAGGAAGTGACTGATTAAAATCAGGCCTACAATCACGGAGGCTTACAGTGCACTCAGGTAGGTATGGTTTTAAGTGCCTTTTCTGTCTTATCTTGTATAGTCCTCATCACATCCGTAAGTGGTATTTTCCTTTCAAAGGATTAAATAAAAGCATGACTTAAAAGTGCTTAACACAGTGCCTGACAGTGTATAAGGAAATGTTAGCTTCCTATCATTATTAACCATCAATATAGGCTCATCAGTGTGCTGTGATTGTAAAGCTGAGTCTTCGAGATTATTGCCAGGCTAAGGTATACCCTTCCCCCTTGAGGGAAGAATGCAAAAGGTGAAATTGTAAACTCCTATGCAAGCTTACCTTTCTTTATTTTAGTGGCTAAGGATCTCAACCACTGAGAGCAAGAAAAAATAAATTTCTCAGCACTAATCTTAGTAACTGACATGTGTCCAGATGTTGATTATGTATGTATGGGCTGGGCCAGCACCACCCTAATCGAGTACTGACATTTTTGCTCATGAACCAGAGTCACAGCCTCATGGTCTGCATTGGCTAAGATGGAATGGGATGATGGTGCAGACAGAGGAATGCTTTATTCAAGCAGAAGGGAGTCTCATGAGATATTGTAGAGGAAATTTGGGTGTGTGTTAAATACCCTTTAATGTCACTTCTCAGAATTTACAATGCTAAGAGCACATTCAAAACCTATTTAAAAGGGATTAAAGGGATAATTCCATCACCGCATTGCTGAACAATGTTACTAAGGGCAAGTGTATAGTTTGGAAGTAAAACTCAAACCTTACTTAGGACTTTTAACTTCATAAAAAAAAATCACCTTAAAAACAGACATTAAAAAGTGAAATATTAGAGTCCAGAGTGGCTACAGTTGGTGTGGATGAGGGGCATAATGGAGAGATGTGACTGAGTCACGGCTTTAGCATCAGGCATTGAGGATTGACATTAAAACATGGCCCTGACTTCAGCTGGCTGAGTTGTTGCTGTAGGGAAGTTAACTCTTCTTGTGTGCATTTTTGCACCTGTCAAATAAGATACTTTACTGCAGTCTGTATGAGGATTTGAAGATTCTATGAGATCATATATTTAAAGTAGTTGGAATACAGTAGGCACTTACTAAATGATGCTACAATGAGAGATTGAGGAGATCCAGAAGTACCTTGGGTTCCCAAAATTCTGCACAACAGAGGAACCATTTCCAAGTCACGCACCCTAAACAAATTTCTCATCTTGCCCCAAATTTAGGTGTATCCAACTTCCTCTATTCTCACAAACCAGCTCAGCAAAATGTGGTTCCTATCAGGGAGAGAGAGGTAGATTTAGTATTGGTCACTTGTGATATTTCACAAGTGATAATTTGCATCCAGGGAGTCCCACCCAATGTTTAACCCACAGTAGGTATAAAAGAAAATAGAGCCAAGCAGAACAGGAAGCACATTCAACAGACACGCCATTCCCAGTAGGAAATAGCCAGCTGCCCAATGAACATCAGCCATGCACAACTTACTAATGCAAATTCCACTGAATTCATAAAATACCTGTAAAATGGAAATAGCCAGATGCAGGGAAACGACCATTTCAACCATTCTGGATCATTTCAGGATACACAGAGCACAGATCTGAAAAGTCAAAATCAGAGAAAAGATAAAGGATCCAGATTCCACAAGGTAGAGAATGACCAACTCCTATGTTAACACCAGACCCATTCTCATGCCGTGGTATGCCGTGGTATGTTCAGGCATTCACAATGGTTCATTTTATTAAAACCCCTTTTAGATGCTGTTAATGAAAAGTAAGTGACTCCCCTCCCACACTGGTCATTTTAATGACAGTGTTGCGATGAACAGACCAAACTGGTAAACACCACAGCAGAGCGGAGCCTTGTCTTGGGGATGCCTGATCCCACCTTTAAGCTAATGATTATATTCCACATAAATTTGTACCTTTGACCTCAATACTACTTTTGTGAATAGATAGAATAAGTATTATCACACCCATTTCACAGATAACAGAAGTGAGCAACTTTGAAATTTAAGATATTCTTCCAAGTTTATGTTAGAACTGGGTATAAAACCCAGGCCAAGCCAAATCGAATCAAATCCCAGCACTTCTCCACCTTTCCACATTGCCCTATGAAAAATACTTTTATAAATAATACAATATTTTCATTTGCTTCTGGTTTCCAAATGTTACATTTTTAAAATGCAATTTGGATTGACATCTTACTCTATGTTTACTATTGAATCTGAGCTGTGAAAACCTTGTCATATTTCTAAGGTTCCAGGAGCTACTTACACTCTTATAGGAAAATCGGTTACAATGGAAATGATGAGTCCAGTGAATGGACTGAATCTTTTAAAATATTCATTTTGTACAAGAACATGTTTTAGAATTACATGCCAGGCTAACGCACTATAGAAAATAGCAGTATCAATAATCCTCTGGCATGGAATTAGGTTTGAAATGCAAACTGAGACTAGCCCTAAAGTTTCTATGTTTAACATTTATGGAAGTAGCCATACTCAGTTACATTCTGAAGACTGAAACACATTTTGTGAAATTCATATCTCTGTCTCTCTCTCTCTCTCTCTCTCTCTCTCTCTCTCTCACACACACACACACACACACACACACACACACAGAGGCAAACAGGCTAAGAGTGTAAGTGTAATGCAGATTTCACATTTTAGATGTGAAAAATGTTCTCCTCTGGGTTGATTGGTTATGGAGATTTTGAATTCAGAAACCCTAGCACCCACAGAGCCCTCACAGATAGAGGCAGATGGTATTTAGATCCTTCCTCTGTTTTCCCCCACCCCCAGTATCCTGGGTTTATCTTTTCAGAGGACTGAGGGAGGAAGAAGAGGCTACTGAGGTCAGAGCAGGTTTCATTTCTCCCTTACCCAAGTATGTTTTGAAGATGCCAACCCATGAACGAGCAGACCGGGTGTCTGGGATGAATTAATCGTTTCATACAAAGAGCAGAGTCTGTACCTCAACAGGCAAAGATCTCTGATGTCCTTCATCCAAACTCTCTTTCCTGAGTGGCCTATTTTTTGTTCATTTTGGCTGAGCTGGGTATCAAACCCTGGGCCTCGTACATGCTGGAAAAGTGTGCTACCTACCACTGAGCTATGCCTCCCAGCCTTGCCTTTTATGCTAGAACAACTGCTTTAAATGACTTATTGAATTTTCCAGCTAGGTGAGATGTTAGCGATGATTGAATGCCATTCCCATCATTTTATGGAAATGGAAGCACAGAGAAGTGACACTCTTTTCCCAAGGCCACACAACTGGTAGTGACAACTGGAACTAGAAACCAAGTTTGCTGACGCCTTTTGGTTCAAACTCTGCTTTCCTTGCCCAGTCAAATAAATGACTCAACTGTGATGGCTGCTGAATTAAGCAGTTGTTTTGATTGAACTGGTGTAAATGAATTCAAGCTCCCGCGACTAGAGCTCATTTTTTCAGGTGAGTCGCTCTGCTGACTAACAGATCTGAAGCTGGTTAAGCATTTTAGGTGTCATTCTTTCTAAGGTTCCTTGGACCCTGCTTCCATCTGGCTCCATCTCAGAATAAAGAGCCTTAGAACACTTTATTCCTTAGAAAGTACAACCAGGCATGCCATATAAAATGTATAGTCTTGTGTGGTTATAGAAATTTTGCCGTTGTATCCTCCAGCCAAGGATGATTGGATTATGTAGGATTGAACTAACATCATGTAAATGGAAGAAAAAAAAAAAACACAGTATTTTAAAAACACCTCCAAGGAAGAATCACTGCAGAGAACATGATAACATCAACATCACATATATGTTGGGTTTTGACTAACACTTACTGTTATTTGGGATATAGAATAACGGAATTCAAGAAGGAAATAACCAGCAGCACCTTCACATTTCTTAAACACATCTTGGGGGGGGAAATGTACCATGAAACAGGCATCTGGTTGTCATCATAAAATATCTAATAGTTTTCTTGCAGTTGTAGGACAAAGGAATTTGTGTCAACAAAGATGGAAGTTGAATGCAAAGACTGATATTGTCTTCTGTGGCTCCAGGCTTGGTGTTTTAAAAGTCATGAAGTACTCTTTTTATTCATGGACATAGTAAGGCATTGTAGTGAAATTGATCATGATATAGGTTAAACAAAGGCTTTTTATAAAACCATGTAAAATTGAGGCAGAAAGAGAAAGTGAGATCATCAGTGTTTACCATAGAAGTCCATGGTGTCTATATACATATGCTTCAGTTATAGCCACATTGATTGAGTTTTTGTTTAATCTGCTATTTCCAGAAGCAAGTTCACTCCCTGCTTCATGCCAAGTTCATTTTAGGAGTTCCATGTGACTTGCATTAGCATTTTTGGCTTCAATAGTACCTCTAATGAACCATTTATAGTTTTTTTTTTTAAGAGTGCTCAAAAAATTAGGCTGTGACAGTTATCCAAAACATAATTCGTTATGCTGTTTAATTATTTAATGCGCTATTTAAAAATTTAAATGTGGCCTCTGGTTGGTTGGTTGATGCAGTCCCATTAAGGTGGATTTGAAGCTCCTTCAAGACTATAATTATCTACTGAGTTCCTTCATGGTTTGAATTTATAAATTAGATTGTGTTCTAATAAAATGCTAATTCAAAAATGTCAACTTTAATGGTTTTAAAATTAGTTCTTTAAAATACTACTAAACACCTACATCTTTTAAAAAATAATAATTACTAAGTGAAGGAAATGGAGTGAAATAACCTGTTAAAGTGAAAGTGGTTAAATCCATATAGTGCTTCCTTACTAACTTATGGGCATTCTCATAAGCATCCTATTTCCAAATTCTCAAGAAAATATATGAGACACTTTGCTACAAAAATACCTGTCGATCATTAGCACAGCTCTAATCTTTGTAATAATAGTGGGTCTTGAAGCAAATCCTATGTCTTCTTAGTCTCACCCCACTCTTTACTCTTTAGGAGAAAAGTGCAAGTGAGTGATAACTTTTTCTGGAATGTATCATCAAACTGTGCCTCTTTGGCATGGATGGAACTAGAGAACATCATAGGAAGTGAAATGAGCCAGGGACAGAAAGACCAAAACTGCCTGATCTCATTTATATGAGAAAATGAAATAAAAGTATAAAGTAAAACACATGTTATCAGAGGCTGGGGAGGGAAGCCAAGAGGGGGGATAGAGGAGATTGGATACTAGGTACCAAAATCCAGTTGGATGGGTGGACTAAGTTCCAGTGTTCTGAGCACAGTAGAGTGACTACAGTTTATAACAATGTTTGCATATTTTATAAAGAAGTAGAAGAAGGAAGTTTGAAAGTTTCCAACACAATAAAATAATAAATGTTTAAGGAGCTGGAAATGCTCATTACCCTGATCTGATTATTATACATTCTATATATGTATTGGATTATTATACTGTACCCCATAAATATGTGCAAGTTTTTTTCAATTAAATAGGGGAAAAACTTAACTGTACTTCTTATTGAAAAACATAATTAGCACTGTGTTTTGTTTTCCAGGAATGACACAAATGAAAATGAAAATGGAAACATAATGCTGCTTAGGTAAATATTTTTTGAAGATTACTCTGAAGACCTTTGCATTAGAATTACCTGTGAGGGCTGGGGGTGTAGCTCCATGGAAGAGTATTTGCTTAGTTTGGATACGGCCCTGGTTCAAGCCCCAGTACCTCCTGTGATGCTTAAAATGCAGATTATTGGCTGTCTCTGATTTACAAAATCAGAGTGTTCTCTAAAGTTTGAAAACTAATTATTGGATGCTTAACTATTTGTTTATTTATTTATTTATTTATTTTGCTACTGAGGATTGAACCCAGGAGCACTTAACCACTGAGCCACATCTACAGCTCTTTTTTATATTTTATTTAGAGACAGGTCTCTCTGAGTTGTTTAGGGCCTCACTAAGTTGCTGAGGCTGGCTTTGAACCTGCAATCCTCCTGCCTCAGCCTTCCAAGCTGCTGGTATTGCAGGTATGCTGCATTACACCTGGATTTCCTATTTCTTCTTTATGAACATTTTCCCTGATATTCCAGATCAGATTTGCTGGCCTGTCCCATATTCTGTTTCTATTATATTACCCTGACATTGTAATCGTTGACCACAGAGGAAGGGCTGAGTCCTGTTCCCTGTTATATTTCAAAATTGCTACAGTAACTGACCCAAGATAAAAATCCATCATGGACCAATGAATGAATGAATGAGTGACTAATGAGGAAAATATTCAACTTTGGCCGTGACAAAGCAGAACTGATGATAATCCAATTTCTCAAGTCACAGACAAAGGTGATTTTAAATAAACAATTAGTTCCTTCCCTCTCCCATCCTGCCCCACCTCCAAACTGTATCCTGTTAGCTATAATCTTCCAATCCACTCTCTTTAAAACTAAACTGTCATTTCAGTGGTGAAATTCAAGTGTATGTACAGCTCTGTAACCATTCACGCCCGATCTTTGGCTAATTCAAATTTAGAACTGAAAGTGTTCTGCACCTTTGGCATCGACATCAAGCCTGCTCTTAAGAAAAGGAGTTAAGAACACAAAACAGAAATTCACAGAGGGAAGTAGGGAACCTGGAAAAGCCAGAGACACTTGAAATTC